TTTCAAACATCTTATATGACAAGGCAAACAATCCTACAGCGATTGCAAGCTTCAAGTGGAACTTTGACTCACATATTCCACTCAACGTATAGCTGTAGGCTTTGCTTCCCTACATGAAGACATCATGATCCCGCTTTCTCTCCCAAGTGTGGGGTGCGATCACTTTAAAATATGAACTTGAGCGGTGCTTATGCACAAAAAAGCTCCCATGAGGCATATGACTGGCCACCCCTTTAAGCACTGACTACCTCCCAGCAGCCGGTGTACCCTGCCAAGCCACACACTGCCCATAACCCACCTAGACTTTGCCATTGTAGTGCTGTGGCACTTGATCTCAGAATTAAAAAAAGAAGTATGGTCAAAGCTCTTTTAGCTGTACTTCTTATGTGGGTCACAGGAGTGCATTCACTTGTGCTCTGATGTCACAGTCCAGACTCCAGACTCTGTAGGGATCCTGACAATAATGTTGGGATCCACCCAGATGCCTTGCAGGCAGCTGGATAAGCCTCTTAGCGCACTGGTGAGTCCCTGAGCCAGCCGTTCCTGCCCCCTTGCCCAGCACTCCACTGACCACTAGAGGGGCAGAGAAGAAAGCAGTGACTTATAGTCACTGCTCTGTGCTCAGAACGGATCCAAGAACTGAGCGATCAGCAGTCACTAGGTGCTCAGTGCTTGGGCTGAGAACAGGTGGGGGACAGCTTGCAGCATCTGACTGATGCCACAGCAGATAGGTAAGTATGTGTGTTTATTTTTTATAATCCCGCACTTCTCCCTTAATGAACATATCTTGAGGAGATAAACTGTACCATTGCCTGGCACTGTTCACCTTAAATTCATTTTCATTGACACTCATTACAGTATATCTACAATTTAAAGAATAAGGTAACCTTTTCACAAAACCCCACCCCTCAGTCCCCGCTGTACTCATTTTTGTGGTTTAGCTGTCACTACTCATGCAGCTGATTCAGTAGTCTGGGGATTTGAAAGCCCTACTCTTCTTTACTTATTCATCCCTTTCTTTTTTTAGGGGTTCCAGGATGGATCAGAGTGATTCCAATTGGTCAAAGTGGTCATGCGTCAGCACGTGACTAATCAGAATTGGTCTGAATCATCTTGGAAGCCCTAAGGAAAGAAGGGAAAGAAGAGCAAGGCTTTTGAACCCCCAACTGCTTCACCGACTTTGTGGGCAGTGACAGCTAATCACGCACGAGGGAAGTGGGGAGGGGGCACGATGTTCACCTTTCCATAGTACTAGTGGAATAACACACACATGCATAATTTAAAAAAAAGGAACATAACATTTAGGCCCCTTTCACACGGGCCTTCCATTGTTTTCATCAGTTCAGTCATGTTTTTTCCGAGAAAAAACAGATCAGTTAGCATCCATTTTTCATCAGTTTACATACGTTTTCATCTGTTTATATCCGTTTTTTTTCGTCCGTCTACATCCATTTTTGCCCATTTACATCAGTTTGTCATTCGTTTACATCCATTTTTGTCTGTTTACATCTGTTTTTCATCTGTTTACATCTGCTTTTGTCCATTTACATCCATTTTTCTTCCATTCCATTTTTTTAACGGAAGAAAAATAGGGTTTTTTTTCAGTTCAAAAAAATCGGATGTTAACGGATGCGGACATTATTTGGATGTAAATAGATGACCATCCGTTTACATTCGCTAGTCCATAGAAATACATGGGTGTCCGTTTTTCATCCGTAAAAGAACAGATGAAAAACGTACATACAGAACGCCCGTGTTAAAGGGGGCCTTACTAAACAGATGAGAGTTTAGAGAAAAAAAAGCTGTCTTAGGTCTCGCTCTTAGGAACTGTCCATCTCAGTGAGAGTTCCAAGCCTGCAGACACCACTGCAGGCTTATGAGTTTCTTACAGCCCTCTGCACCTATGGTATCAAAAGCAATACCACAGAGGTAAGGACTACTCTAAATGTGGACTCTAGCAGCAGCCCTACTTCAGATGCTAAACAATAACTGCACTTTTATTGAGAAAAAAATAATACCTTTCCCCTGTGGGTTGGCTATGTACATTGTTGGGATTTTAATAAAATGTGTAGCAGATTCCTACCTTTTGTTATTCTAAAGAAATAGTTTTTTGTTTGTCTGTGTCCATGTGCAGAGTGAATGTGAATGGGAGTGATTTTATAATTATCATTTAGCTGCTGCACTTGCAGGACTCTAATGAGGAAAGTAGACAAAGATTGGTAACTCACTAGATACAAGTGGGTCAGATTCACATCGTGTCCCGATCAGCGTCTGCCGAAGAAGCAGCAGCTTTGAAACGCGCTACCGACTCATGCTCACGTGGTGACGTCACGTCCGCTCGGCAGTCATCTGCGTTTCAGCCTGGTTCCGACATAGACACAGCCTGTGTTGTGCAGATCGGGACACGATGTGAGTCAGGAGACCTGGCTTCCTCTACAGCCTTGGCCCCCAGATGTCCATCTATCCTCCCCTTCCTGCCTCCGGAACTCCACCAGGATGACGTTCACCTGTTATACATGCCTCTGGCCCACTTGTATCTAGGAGTTACCAATCTTTGTGTGCTATTAAACCATTGCTAATACTGCACTTAGTCTGGCGCCCCTCTCTCCTTCTATCTTTTACTACAGAGTCCAGCTTAACTCTTAGGGTGCTGCCTCATGATGGTGCTGATTATAAACTGACTATTTCCCTACTATTAACCTCCCTAGCGGTCTGATTATGTCAATATTTCTGTTCTCAAAGCGGTACATTTTTTGCATGGAAATATGTTGTTGTTTTTTTTAGGCATGTAATTCTTAGGAATAACTGAAATCTGTCCGAACAAGAGTCTAGTAAACATCCCGGGTATGATAACATTTTAAACACGAAATCATAAATTATAATATAATAAATAATCATAAAAAATAATAATATAATAATAATAAATTTAATTCAATAATATAATCAAATCAAAAACACTGAAATTTGAAACAGAGCGCCAAGCTCGCACATCACTGAGCAAAGTCGCAAAATCGTTTTCAGTGTCTGATGACAAATTTCCCCACGAATAATTATCACTCAATTCTGCAAGTGGTTCTGATTTACTATCGCTGTTTCCTAGCTGGTCTAAAATCGCTTTTGACCTAAAGGACACCATGGACTTTTCTCAGTTTCCAGGCAGAAAGAAGAGTAAAAATGTAGGCAGGGCACAAGACAAAGCACTCGGGACAAAATGTATGTGAAATGGTTTGATACAGTAATGTTATACAATAAGATTTTAGTGTATTGAGTGAATGTCAGTTTTACATTTTTTTTTTAATTTCCTGCCGGTTCTGTTCCTCGTATGTCCCATATGTCCCGACACTCACAGGGAACGGAACCCGGAAGACGGATGCCTGCATCGGCCGGAGGAGATGGCCGGGGACGCTGCAGGGGGGACATCGCGGGAGCGAAGGACAAGGTAAGTGTTGGAGGGATCCCAGAGCAACACTACAGTGTAATCCCGAGTGTAGCTCGGGTTACCGCTTCTGGTACTGAAAGTTAACCCCTAGCTACACTCGGAAATACCGCCAGGGAGTTTAAAGGGACTTTAAAGTTTTTTCCCTCCTCTCCAGGGCCAATATTTTTACCTTTAATGAGGAAAGTAGCAGGTGATTAACTCTTATCTCTTATCTTATAATTTTGTTGCAGAGGATGTGAGGATGCCCAAAAACTGACTTGTATGTTAGTGCAGACTTCTGGGAAAATCAGTGAGCCAATCAAAGAAGCAGGAAAGGACATTTCATGGGAGCACTCTGTAAACCATCTGTGTACAGAATGCCTCAGGGTAGCCATATTGCATTGCATTTTACAGAAAATTAGTTCTGCAGATTGAAAAGGAAAGGTCATTTTTAATAATGTTATATTACTTGTGTTGCAATTCTATATGCATTGGGGGGTTTTTTATTTGTGATATTCTTTTCTCCTTAATTTTACACTGAGGCTAAGACTTTTGCTCTGTGAATTCTTTTCCTGGCTTTAATGCCATCCAATATGATAATTTAGGATGAAGAATATTTATCAGTTTATAAATACATGTCCTTTACCAAATATCTTTATATTTTACTTATAAGTGTTACCAAACTCAACAGTAAAATCAGTCTGTATATGCAGTGAAGCATTCTTGTTATACTCACTGTGGAACCTAAGGGAATAATCCTCCTCACTGTGTAAAAAGACTGTTTGATGCTGTCTTCTCAGATCCTCCCCTTCTTCCACAGTCCCCAATCCACCTGCTGATAGTACAAAGTTCTAGGAGTCACTCTGCACATGCTCAGTTTAGTCTGTATTGCTAGAGAGTGTTTTTTTTTTCTTTGTGAGGGTGCATATGAGCAGCACAGGGCCAATCAGCACTGTCCAGACAGAGGGTCTGAATGAAAACTCCTCCTACAAGCTTTAACCAATACTTGGCCGGTCACTGATAGAAGTCACAAAACTGCTTTATACTGCTGGTTAGAAAAGGTATTTAGCAGTTTATATTTACTACAATAATTGCATGCCCATGTTCTGTGTACTGTGGGAGACCAGATATAGGGAGCTAACGTACCTGTGCCATCGCAAGACATTCTAGGAACTATGTTGAGCTAATGCTCCCTCTAGTGTTTAGTTGTAATAGTGAGATTGTGTTCAGTGACACCAAGAAAGAGAGGAGGATCCAACAAAGAGCTGGGAATTGTGGGACATCTAGTCCAAAAGGCTTTGATTTTCAAGGAGCTAATACCGTTGTGAACTACATGTTCCAAGAGGAAGAGAAGTAGGATGCTGGGAAAGGATATATTTCAGACTCCGGAGAAAGCTATGCTTCTTGGCTGAAGCTGCAAGGAGGGACCCGGCTGCGGTACAGAGATAAGTAGGCTACGAGAGTATGGAGAGTCTTTGGTGGGTTAGCTACAGACCTGCAAGCAGATCATCCGTCATTACAGGTGGTTTACATTATGTGAGCTGCTGTAACTTTTGGTTTCATATAGCTTAAAGTGTTACTACACCCAAGACCCTGCATTCACTATATCTGGTCTCCCACAGTACACACAAACATGGAAGTGCAATTATTTTAGTGAATATAAACTGCTAAATACCTTTTCTCATCAGCAGTTAGAGCAGTCTTGTGACTTCTATCAGTATCCAGCAGAGCACATGTTAAAGCTTGCAGGAAGAGGTTTTCATTCTGCTCTGGGAGGATGCAGGACCCCTGACCTCTGGACAGTGCTAATTGGCCCTTTGCTGGTCACATGCAATCTCCCAAGAAAATAAAAAAAACTCTGTAGCAATACACACCAACTTAGCATGTGCAGAGTGACTCCACTTGATTAGTCTTACCAGGAGATAAGAAGGGGACACTGGAAGAAGGAGAGGATCAGTGAAGTCAGGATCAAACATCCTTTTTACACAATGCAGAGGATTAACCCCTTAGGTTCCACAGTGAGTATAACAAGCATGCTTTACTGCATATAGAGACTGATTTTACTGTTGTGGGTTTAATAACACTTTAAATTCTAATATGAACTCTGAATATGCCTCATTATGTCAAATAACATGTCCACATCTGCTGGTTTAGGTGTTATGTTGGATTAGCTCTGCTAGAGCAAGACGGTGGCCCTGGTGAAAGAACACGAGAGTCAGTAACTTATCTCCAGCAAGGCATGGATAAACTCCTTAATGATCTCCTTACACAAGAAGGGTAAGGTCAAATTGATTAATTAGAATCGTACCAGCCTATATATATACCCGCTAAAAGCTAAAGCAAGTAAAATCTAATGCCAGGATACCTTTACAGGAATGAAGAAATACCTATATGGGAGCTATCTTCCTTTCCAAATGAATTATTATTTCTGTCCATCCAGTCCTGACATAAGCACAGCTCTGCCACAGTGCATGGCTGTTTTGCAGGGCAGGGCACCTGATTTTTTTTTTCTACTGCAGTTAGATAACACTTACAGATCATGTCCCTTCCCCAGCCTGTGACTGGACAGTGAAAAAAGAAACAGCAGACATACAAGCTTACCCTTCTGTCACTATGCCCTGTCCTCCTATCAGCATGTTTGTTGTTAGCAGCATTACTGACCTGCCCTTGTGCTGCTTCTTTTTCTAATACAGATGAATGTACAAAACACCCCAACACTCAGAATTATAGCCATCTGGATGTTCCCACCAACATGAAAATCTCCACTGTAATCTTTAACAGGAATGCTCCACCAATGCAGCCCTCCTCAGACAGAGGAATCTTGACAGAAAACTGTAAAAACAAAGAAGAGTGCACAAATGCCTTTACTGAGACCAATTGCCAAAAACATACTCACAAATGTGTAAGAATGCAAGTAAATAATGCCACTATATTCAGATCTAGCAGGTTGGTGGGGCGCTGCCACGTGGACTCAGGGCCGTCGCTACCACTAGGGGAACTAGGCAGCCACCTAAGGAGCAGCCACAGACGCTGGTTTCCCTACTCTTCTGCTTGCTGAGAATTGTATCACATAGAGTGTTTTTTACCTCTGGTTTTATGTTCACTTTGCTTTTTCTGCTTTATTGAATTGAATTGTTGCAAAAAAGTCATTCTATTATCTGTAGTCTGCCTAGCCGTTGCTGTGCCCATAAGTACAGCAATGTGCTTCCAGGCCTCTAGAAGGAGCAGAGAGCTCTGAGCGCGTAGCCTGTTCTCCAAGGCACCAGATCTTCCCCCTTTGACATCTCGTCTGCCGTGTGTGTTCCAAGCCGGCCCCGGAACTTCCATTTGTCCTGTGGCGTCCTGGCATCTCTCTGTCTCTCCATTCACAGCTCCAGACCCACACTGGCTGATCATTAGGACAGAAAGGACTGACGTGACCATTATTGATGATAAGCAACATTTTATTTCTTTCTTGTGAGTGTTTAACACCGCTTGCTTATTGAATTGGTTTTTTAACTGCTTGCCGACTGCCCTATAGCAGAAATACCGCTACAGGGCTGCAACGGTGCACAAAATCACATATATATATATATATATATATATATGTGTGTGTGTGTGTGTGTGATTTTGCAGTTCCAGGTAGGGGGCGCACGTGCCCTAGCCGTGCCGCCATTCATGGCACCAGCTGTCAATCACCGGGCCCCAGCCGGTAATTACTCGCCGGTGCCCGGTGATTTCCGAGTATCTCCGACGGGCAGGAGGACAGTTTTGTTTACTAACAGTCCTTCTCCCTGTCAGCTCGGGCACAGCACAGCCATCCACAGCATTGTGATTACAGTGAATCACACACATCCCACCCCCTAGTAAAACACTCCCTACACACAGTTAACCCTTTGATTGCCCCTTATGTTAACCCCTTCCTGCTCAGTGTCATTAGTACAGTGTCAGTGCTCTTTTTTTTAGCAGTGATCACTGTATTGGTGTCACTGGGGATGTCAGTGACACCATGTCAGTTCCCCCCAGTCTCAGAATGTCCGCCGCAGTCCTGCAGTCCCGCTATAAGTCTCTGATCGCCACCTTTACTAGTAAAAAAAAAAAAAAAAAATACAATCCCAGTATACATACCACCATTTGTGAATGCTATAACTTTCACGCAAACCAATTAATTTACACATGTAGCAGAATAAATTTATGACGAGATTTGATTTTTTAAATTTTTTTACTGGACATGCAAAAAATAAAAAACGCACAGGCGATCAAATATCGCCAACAGAAAGCTCAATTTGTGCAAAAAAAAAAGATGTAAATTTCATATGGGTGCAGTGTTGCATGACCGCGCATTTGTCAGTTAAAATAACGCAGCACCGTAATGCACAAAATGGCCTGGTCAGGAAGGGGGGTAAATCTTCTGGAGGACAAGTGCTTAATACTACATTTAGTGGCGCATTCCCCTGTCTTTTTCTTGTCTTTCACATACAGAGCTGGCATATTCTGATGATGGCTGCTGCTGATGTTGCTGATTTTTAATGAATTATGGAAAAGATTTTAAAAAAATTTTTGGGCGGGGGTGGGGGGGGTACAAGCAGCTGGTCTTGCCGAGGGCACAAAATAGTCTAGTATCTTCTCTGGCATTGGCAGGGTTATGCGTTTCAGGGGACTCACTCCCTTATTCAGAGCTGAACCATTTCAGGGTCCAATCCTTCCTTTATATGCGCTCAAAAACACACTCACCCCGCCCATCCACACGTAGAGTGGACAGGACCATTGTGACAGATGGGACTAAAAACTTGCAGTGCATTGGGTAGCCCGGTACTTAAAATTGCCTATTTTAATTATACGGTGTTCTGAGAAGCATGTAAAAATATGCGGGATTGATATTGTGAGCTCCTTTCTGTCTCTCTGATATGGCACAAAGTCATATAGTAAGAGGCTGTAGGCTGACCACGAGGCTCATGTTGAGAGTTTGTGCAATCTGTCAGCAATGGACTATATTCAATTTGTGGTTCTAAAAGGCAAAAGGTTTTTTGTTACCTTAATGCAGAGAATGCATTAAGGTAACAAAAAACCTTTTGCCTTTCAAGCAGCTCCCTCAGCCCCCACTTAACACTTACCTTACTCCATTCTCAATCCAGCTCCACCCCATCTGCAGCAGCTCTTCTTCCTTCACTTCCTGGTTTCACAGACTTTGCTAATAGCAAAGTTGGCTCCTGCTGCTGTTAATCAAATCCTGTGGGGGGTGAGGCTGTGCTGGGCTGTGTGTTTATAGACACACACAGCCCAGCTTGGAATTGAGCCTGTGCGTAGCAAGCCATTGCTATGGGGACAAAACTTGAAACTTTTATTAAACAGAATGCCAATGGTACAGGCACCCTGGCATGAGAACACCACTATGGAAATTACTCACAGTTCAATGTAGTCAATGTAGTCTGAAGTGTAGGAGGAGAGGTGCCAACAGCGTCTGTTTCAGAGGGTGAAGCACAGCCTGGCTGTTTCAGTCCCAAGAGGGAAGCTCCTTTGCAGGATATTGAGTCCCCACTCTTTCCCGCCTCACCAGGAACCTTTCCCTACTGCAAATGACTTTACCTAACAAACGGGGTCTCTCTGTTCACTAGCCTCATGCAGGAAGTGTGCCAAAACCCAGGGCAGGAACTTAAATATACCCTACTGACCCAATATGGCTGACGACAGTCATATGGATGCAATGTAGCCAACCAATATGCTCCATTGACCCAGGAAAGCATAGAGAAATGTTGTTTCTCGTACACTTCATCTCCAAGCTGAGGTGCTGCTCGTTATCAGCGCCACCTGCTGTGGAGAAAACAAACTGCACCTGCCTACAGGCTTAGAACTGCTTTGAGGTAAAAGGGAGCTTTCTGATTGCACAATAGAAATGTTACCTGGATATTTTTGGAATTTTTTCATTTCCTGTAGTTGTGTTCTAAGTGGGCTCACAAAATATAACTTGTCTGTTTCAGCTCTGGTCCTCTTCTGACCGAAAATCCACTTTGTCTTTTCAACACTCAGCTACTTAGTGGGTTTCTGAAATTTGGAAAATTACTTAAGACCCTTTCTTTCCCCAATCTTATGAGTTCTCAGCAAGTTCTTCACATGTAAGTAATAAAATCAGTTAAACTGTTATTATATTGTAAGATTACTTTATTAAGAAGAATGTTGGGAAGGAATACATGTGACAGAAGAAGTATTGGCATTGGAAGGGGATGTTGTCGTTGCATATGTGAATTTGGAAATTAAAGGGGAGTCAATTCAAAAGTGATATTTTAGTCAAAATTGAAATGTAGTAGACTGAGTTGGCCGTAGTATTAGATAAAGACCAGTGTTCAGAATCTGCTGTTTTGTACAACACTAGATTTACTAAAACTGGAGCACTCTGAATCTGGTGCAGCTGTGCATGGTAGCCAATCAACGTCTAACTTCAGCTTGTTCAATTAACCACAGATTTACTGCTGCAGGGTGGCCGCTCTGCGCTGGAACACATATCTGATACATGATTCGCACTTTAACGTAGGGAGCCGCTCCACCTGTGCTGTGATTTGGTACAGCACAAGCTAATCAATGATTTATCGCCAGGACCTGCTGATCAGCTCAGCAAATCACAAAGAGAGCTCTGTGTTGGTAAACAACACAGAGCTCTGTACATTGACAAGCAATCTTGCTGTTTTTTATTCCCTGCAAAGCAGGGAAAAAACAACAAGATATCTTAATAAAAGCAGCACATGTTACACACCACTAAATGTTAACCCCTTCCCAGCCAGTGTCATCAGTACAGTGACAGTGTATAGTATTAGCACTG